ATTTACTTGAGACACTCGGTTTTATTATAACTATAAAACTCTTGACTATATGAAATGCTACAATTACTATAGTTGCCATGTTTTTATTATCCATGAGAGTTCTATCGACTATGTATATGAAAGATACGTAATATGACATTTACATATGCATATATCCTACTGCACTTAAATACAATGTTATTTTGGTTTTCTTTTGCTTTCTCGTGAAATACCAATACTATTTTTAGATATTTGGAGCAGCCAATTAGAGAGGTTTACCCGTCCTACAATAAGTCACATGGGGGTCTACAGTTTAAAATATTTCATTCAGCATTAATCTACATGTACGCAAAGGAATCAGGACCTGCAAACCGGAGATTAATCGGACGGGATATATATAACTCATAATGTGAAATATAGTTTACTAACGATATCATATTCTGAATATTGTTTAGCCAGTATTACATGTGCTTTTATATGATAATCAAATATATTGGCTTTCTAAATAATTAAGTATTGACAGACTTAACTAGTCATATGTAAAATATCTCAAATTTTTGTACATCTTTTTATTACGTATGTCAAGTTTAAAATAATTTAGATAAATGGATACAGAATGTATCAAAGATGAAAAGTTTTTCATCCTAGAAATTTTTTGGTACTTGGATTTCAACAAATGTTACGTGAAACATATTCTTTCACATAATCTTTATTTCCAATATGAATTGGAATAAAAGATTTTATTAAAATTTATAAACTTTGAATTTAAAAAATGGAGACATACATATATTCATCAATGTGCTTCCTTGTGATGCAACTATTATATTTTTTGATTTTGTCTTTAATACTTTTCATCTACAGTGAGCAATTTTTGAAACATCCTGTATAAAATAATACAATCAATTATCGAATAAGAACTTTTCGATAAGATTTGAAATACATTTCTTCCATGATTATCTTTTTCTAAATATACATACTCATAAATAGTATTTATAGGTTTTTATATCTACACTTTTTTTATGAAGAAAATAAAAATTTCTGTATTTTGTTACAATAATTTTGTTTCATTAGCTAGATAGAAGTTATAAATAATTACATACTACTATTTTCATCAAACTATTCGGTATTATAAAACGTTAAAATTAATAATATCTTTAACTATATTGTGGAGAAAATTATTAGGAACTCTTTTTTTATATGAAATTACATTAATGTTATGTTCATTCAACTTTATATATTATTAAAAAACTTCTAAAAGATATTCTCAAAAAAAATTATTTTTGTAAAATAAGTAAATTAAGTTTATATTAAAATTATAAATTATATTTGGCTTCGTTACTTATGTATTTGATGTAGAAAATGTGTATTTGGACATGTAATAATACTTTTTTAAGTTAGTATTT